AGATAGATAGATAGATAGATAGATAGATAGATAGATAGATAGATAGATAGATAGATAGATGATAGATTGATTCTTAAGTTTTCGCGGGCACTTACATGTATGGCATTCAGCTTTGTTCGGGTATTTTCCCACGTCATTGTAGTTGTGCTTTTAAAGTTGTAGCAACGTTTCGGCAGAAGCCTGATGATGGCAGATGAGATTCTGCCGAAACGTTGCTACAACTTTAAAAGCACAACTACAATGATGTGGGAAAATACCCAAACAAAGCTGAATGCTATATATATATATATGTATGTATGTATGTATGTGTGTGTGTGTGTGTGTGTGTGTGTATTCAACCACAGAAGAAAAAAAAGCATCACAAGCTTACTAAAGAACTTGACAATTGTGCATTTTAAAGATTATCTCTCTGCGTGTCTGTGTGTATATTGTATTTTAAATAGTTAAAATGTATTAATATTACTAATTGACTCTTACACTGATGTTTTTATAATTAAATATTACATATTATATCATTAAATATTACAAGGATTTGCCAATGATTTTCTCCCACCCACCAACCTATTTTTGGAACTTCATCAACAAAAAAGTTTTGACGGGAAAAAAAGGGAGATTATCTCCAGATTGACTTTCCCTTCCAAGTTCTCAGAATTCTATCTGATATATCTCATTAGAACCAGTGTACTTATCTTTGATTTGTATTTATAGAGTATTTAAAATTTACACTGTACCATATGTGATTATTTGATATCCTTGCTTTAATGCATATCTTTTTAAAATCAAAAACATGAATTCATCTTCATGGTCAAACCAGCATTACTTTACAAATATTATCTCTACTCAGAGGCCCACGGTGAATAAAACTGAAGAGGATTCCAAATTTTGTCTTATCTCGTTGTCATCACAGTAACAGACTCCCAATATCCTATAGATGGTAATATCTTACAAAAGAAATGGATATCCCTGTATCATACTGTTGAAAGGAATTTGGAAGTTGTTAACTTTCCCGTAAAAGTTTTAGTGAACTAAAAAAACAGATGGCAAGACTGAAACCATTTTCCCAAAATACTTAAGACAATTTATCTGATGTAATTTACAAAATCTACCTATAAGTTTATATCACTTGTGGAAATTCCTAGCTTTTTTCCACGTCCATCCCATAGTCTATCCTCCCCCCCCTCCCTCCTTCACTTATATCTTATAGGAGCCTTTTACAATTTAATATAAACTCTAGCCTAGTTGTCATCTCATTAGAACAGTAAATTGCATGTGGATGCCCCCAGTGCAGATGGGCTCTTTCATTTCAGTTTTTTTATTCTTGAGATGGAGTGTGGATTATATCTCAACATCAATGGAAAACTTACTGTTGATGCTTAACCGTTCAAAGAAGCAAAGGACTTCTGCTCCTTTGAATTTATTTATTTATTTATTTATTTATTTATTTGATTTGCCAATTGTTTACAAGATAATAAGTATAAGTGTATACATAGTTGTGAATACATGAAATGGGTACATATAAGAAAAATAAAAGAAGAATAAGAGAAACAATAGGACAGGGACGGTAGGCACGTTGGTGCGCTTATGCACGCCCCCTACAGTTCAGGTTCACCACCTTGTTTCAGGTATAATGAATGCATGCTTCATAAAACAACTAATGTTTTTGATTTGAAATGCAGGTCTGTGTAATTCAGCCGACAGCTGGATGATTGTTCCAAATATCAAACAGAATCATTACACAGTGCATGGCCTGCAGAGTGGCACCAAGTACATCTTTGTTGTTAAGGCCATTAATCAAGCTGGCAGTCGCAACAGTGAACCTGGAAAGCTGAAGACAAATAGTGAGTAGTTTTACATTTAACCTAAATACATTTGCTTTTTCTTTCTTCTTGATCTGACTCAGTTAGACACTTGAAAAGTACAGAAATAGTGTACTCCCTCCCGTTTTAGTGTTTTCCTGTACAATTCTTATTCCGTTCAGCAGAAATGTTTGCTAAAGTCTTTCAGCTGACAACTTCGTATTAATATTCATTGACACACCTAAACTCTGAAGCACTTTGCACAATTTAGGGAAGGATACAAAGGGAATACTGTTGACTTTTGCTTTCTAAAAGTTTTCATCCCATGCTAACTTTTATTTTTATATGCTGCTTATCTAAACACAATCAAGGTTTAAACTTACAAAGGTCAAAATAGCAATTGCTAAGAAAACAAGGCAACTGCAAAACATGGCAGGACCATTGAATACATTAAAACAGTTCAGGGGTGGGAAGGGAAAATAATCAAATAGCATATTAATTCATCAACAAAGTTAAATACCGTTTTCATGCATGCTGACACAGGCTTTATTTTAAAACTCTTATCTTGTTCATATTCTAGGTCAGCCATTCAAACTGGATCCCAAGTCTGCTCATAGAAAGCTAAAAGTGTCTCACGATAACTTGACTGTGGAACGAGATGAAACCTCTTCTAAGAAGAGCCACACCCCTGAGCGCTTTACCAGCCAAGGCAGCTATGGAGTGGCTGGCAATGTGTTTATTGACAGTGGCCGTCATTACTGGGAGGTGGTTATCAGTGGAAGTACATGGTAGGTAGGGTCAACCCATGCAAGAACACATACTTTCATTCCCTAAATGATTCATAACACTTCAGATTTGTTCACTTTAACAGATGCAAAGAAACTGACAAAATGTTATAATGCAACTTTAATCTGGGGTTTTTGTTGTTGGTTTCTGCAATAGTAAAAAAAAAAAAAAAGTTTATTATAAAGGTGGCAGCAGTTCAGATTATATTAATAGCTTTGTAGCTTAAATCAGATTGGATGAGACCAGTTTACAATATTACTAAAATCAGGACTTGGAAACATAGCTTCTAGGCAGAGACATTTCCAGATTGGGATTCACAAATCCAATCTATTCCAGAAACCATATCAGAACGTAGAAGAATGAAGAAATAAATTAGAGAATATTCTACTAGTGATTTTTTAAACTAATAATTCAGAATAGGAAAGCGCGATGGCTCAACAGTTCAAGATGCTGAACTTGTCAATTGGAAAGCTGACAGTCTGGGTTTGAAACCCAAGCACCACACGATGGAGTGAGTTCCTGTTTACTTGCTCCAATTCCTCCTAATCTAGCTGTTTGAAAGCATGCAAATGCGAGTAGATAAATATATACCTCTTCAATGGGAAGGTAACAGCATTCTGTGCATCTCTACATATAGCCATGCTGACCACATGACCACGGAACCGTTTTCAGATAGTGTTAGCGCCCTTAGCTAAGAAACAGAGATGAGCACTGCCCCCTAGAGTCAGATATGACTGGATAGGGGAAACCTTTACCTTTAACTGTAATAGTTCGGAGCCATTGTTTTAACCTATATAAGCTAGGCCTTCTTCATTTTGACTGTTACAGTTTCATAACATGGCTCTTTTCATAGCAGAGAAATTTGGGACAATAAGATTTGCAACGACTTGCCTCACACAGTAGACGGAAGAATGTTAACTAAATATATACTTTTTTTGAACTGCAAAAGACATTTTTAAAGACATTTTATGGCTTCGGAAATACAGCAAATATATGACATGAATTATATATTTTCTTAATTTTGTTTTGTAGGTATGCCATTGGTATTTCTTATAAAACTGTACCAAAACATGAATGGATTGGAAAGAATTCTGCTTCTTGGGTTCTTTGTCGCTGCAACAATACATGGGTGGTGAGACATAACAGCAAAGAAATTCCAATAGACCCTGCACCCCATCTTCGCCGTATTGGCATTTTGCTAGACTATGACAATGGTTCTTTGGCCTTTTATGATGCCTTGAATTCTCTACATCTTTACACTTTTGATATTACATTTTCACAGCCTGTTTGCCCAACATTCACAGTCTGGAATAAATGTTTGACAATCATAACAGGTCTTCCAATCCCAGATCATTTAGATTTTATTGAGCAGATGCCATGATCAATACTGAATGAAGATGGATGATGAATGTCCTATGGACCTCACATATACTTTTAGTGACTTTGATTGGAAAAGGGAAATACATTTCACACAAAAAAGAAGTCTTTACCTGTTTTCAGCCAAAAAGTCAAAATAGGAAGCTCTTCTTGGACATTACTATTTGTTTTGTATTAAAAGCAAGATATGGCTTTAATAATTTTTCAGATTGTTTTTGTATCTAGACTCCTTCAGAAAATTTATAAATTATTTATATTAAAAAAAAACACTTTGAATAGGAACCCACAATTTGGTGTTTGCATCTGAGCACCTCATAACAAAGACTTCTTTTTGCACATGAAGAGCTGTGTCACAAAGGTTCCTACTAGAGGTCTCCAATAATTTTATTTTATAATAGAGTTATTTGGAAGTATTTGAAAGAAGGATACAATACTTATTCTTCAATTTTGTTCTTATGGTGCTTTCCTAGCAGTCACTTTTCACTCCACAAAATATCGCTTCAATTTGGAGCGCATTAAATTATACTTTAATGTATAAAGTCAGTGTCTGAATCAACCAGCAGTCAATATTATTAATAACAATTTTCTTAAATACTAATTATTCACCTCTGTCACAGTTAGGAATATGTATTTTGTATTTTTCTTTTTGGACTCAGAAAACCATCAACTAGAATGAAACAGCTAAGATAGATCTAACATTATGTTTTAGATAAATGTATCACTAAGCTCAAATGATGATCAATTTCTGATGGTATTGATTTGGTTACATATCATTGAATAGGTACACAAAGCAGCCACATATACAGTGCTAGGGCTAGGCAATGTACAACTGATTTTAAGTTTAAAAATGAGATTTTGTTATGTTATAGTATATCAATAAAAATAGTAAAAGGTATCTGTTTTGTAAACAGTGCCGGAAAGAGCCGTACTTCACTGTATCATTCTGTGGGACTTCGAAGGGATCCAGGGTTTCAAGTTTCTTCGTTATTTGTTTCTTTTGAGGAGTAAGGTCTGTAGGGTCAAGTTTTTGAGGTCAACAAGAATTCCAAATGAAAATACTTAATTGTAAAATCTGCACACACAGACTGAAAATACTTTTACAGATACATTATTAAACCAATGTATTCTGCGAGTTTGTTTTTTTTAACCTGAAAGGAACACCAAAATGATTACAGAAAGTATGAGGGTCACTAAAAATGCCAACAATGAGGTAGTAAATCTTTTTTGTCTGTTCTTGCTTTTTCAGAATCAGTTTCCTTTTGGATAACTGATCATTTTGTGTATTTATGAAACATAAATGGTAAGTTCAAGAGTCAAACAAGTTGACTAGATATGCAATGAGGGAGAAGTCAAAAAACTAAGACATGATCAAAACCACTTCTCTCATATAGATGTGCCCCAACACACATAAAAAGAATGAGCATTCAGCTACAACGTGGGGCTTGCAGGTTGCAAAATCTTGGCAGGTTTTAATATACTAACCCATGCAAACATCGGTGACCAGATTTCCAGCCTATTCACAATGCTATATCATTCCTGTTTTCCTCTCAGTCAAGCATTAAATAATGTTTCTAGCCTAGATTAAACAAGTAAACAAAAGTTGATCAACAGTTTCTGGTCTCTACCTCTTTGAGGTTTTTGTGGTAAATGGCTGAACCCTTCACTCGCTTTTTGGTCTTTATCTAAAAAGGTACTTTAAGTAAATAAGCCCTCTAATCACATTATCTGCACAAAAATGCTCATAAGAATATAATTTGCCAAGCTAAATTTCAGGGGGACAAAATAGTTAAAAGTTGATATCATGGCAGCCAATCAAAGACTAAGGAATTTAGTCCCTTCTGTCTCCTTATGAATATTTATCTATCATGCTGAATATCATGCTGTCATAATGTGTACATTAACATTTCTCTCGTCCCTTGCTATAATGTTTTTCAATCTTGGCAGCTTTAAGATGTGTGAATTTCAACTCCCAGAATTCCTCAGCCAGCATGTATACATTTGAAGTTGCCAAGGTGGAAAAACACTGCTGTAGCTCAACTGCTGTCCAAGAAAATGAACCACTATAGGAACCTTGCACTATACCAGGGGTGTCAAAACTTGATCACGTTGTGGACCAGATGTAACGTGTCACAGTGTTCTTGCCTTTGCGGAGACAGAGCGGGTGTGGCCTGCACGGATTGTATTCTGCCCACAGGCCTGCAGTTTGACAGTACTGCACTACACATTCTAGCAAAATAATAAACCCCCTAGTATTTGTTAGAACTATTAAGAGCTAAAAACTACAAACTTCTTTTTTGTAGAAAGGTTCTTCTTCTGGGTCCCACCAGGTGTATCTCCCTATGGGAAGGGACCCGCAGCATTCCTTGCCTCTCCGTTCTGGTGAGTCAGGTAGATGTGACAAACAAGAGATGGCCCCTCAGATAACCTGAAGGGTTTTAAAGGTGAAAAACAGCACCCAGAAGCAAGTCAGAAACCAATGCAGCTCCGGCAGGAGAGGTGATACATGTGCACACCAAGGTCTGCACAAAAACATGCAGGTTGCTGGATTTTGCACCAAGTGGAGCTTTGGATGCTCTTCGAGGACAGCCCCATGTAGAGCGTGTTGCAATAGTCAAAATGGGAAGTGACTAGGGCACGAGTGACCGTGAGTAGGGATTGTCAGTCCAGGAAAAGGTATAACTGGTGCACAAGCCACAGTTGTACAAAGGCCCTCCTGGCCACGATCACCACCTGCTCTTCGAGCAGGAGTCATGAGTCCAAACAACCCCAAACCCAGAGCCACTCTGTCTTGCCAGGGTACAGTTTTAACCCGTTCCCCATGTGCTACTTAATTGGCTATTAATGCTTCCTTATTTATTTCACATAAATTAACCCTAATATCTTAGCCTTTCTATGCAAACTTTCTTGAATGAAGACATTTCCTAAGAGACTCTGAAGGAGCATTGTATTTAATGACCATACTTACAGCACCATAAAATATTTGTATAAAAAGTGATAACCCATACAAGTCTGTTGTGGCCCCGATTCCAGAGCCTATGCTGTCAGAGGAAGAGGACCTGGAAGATGAGGGGGAGGAACTGGGAATGCCGTCCTCCCCAGGACCTTCCTCCCTGGCAATGCCTACCTCCCCAGGACCTTCCTCCCTGGTAATGCCTCAGGTTCCATCAGACAACCGAGAGGAACAGTCTGAGATTAATCAGGAGGAAGGCATGTCAGAGCAGCCCCTGACAGGGAGTGAAGAGGAAGAGTATTGGCTTGACCCCAAGCAATGTCGTAGGGAGAAACATGAGCAGCAACGTAGGAGGCATGGGAGGGTCAGAGAGTGAGTCATTGAGCCACACCCCACAGGGGATAAAAGTGGGTGTATTTTCTCCTTAAACTTTGTACGGGACAAAGTTTAACCTTACTTCAGATTTTCTTCGTGAATGATTATTTTGTGGACTACCTTGTGATTTTTATGAAGTAAAAGAATCATTTATCTCTGTGAGTAAAACTTTATTTGCTGCCAGTTTGGACTTGGCAGGCAGGACGTGGTGGAATGCCAAGAATAGTATCAGTTCCAAAGAATTAACTCTGCGAAGTCCGAGCCAGCTTGCCTGCCTGTGTTTGTGTGTGTGTGTGTACTCTTTCATCTTTTGGGAAAGAGGAAAGGCGAGACAGAACACAAGTCTATGTATGTTACTAGGTAAAGAGCCTTACAGAGATAATGCTTACAAGTTTAAATAAAATAGTTCATTTGACACACTAATTTGGAAGTAGCTATGGATTCTTCCTTAATTTGCATAGCCTTATGTTCATTCATTAAAGAAATCTGTTTTGCTTCTAAGAACAGCCAATGAAACAAATTGTAATATCTCAACGGTTTGTAGTCATGAATATTGCATAGCAGTTTCACACAATGGTAGAAAAACAATTTCAATAACATTATAAAAGATTACTTTCATCATTATATTATAAAGGACACAGTATCTATACAAAATCTCATGGCGAAAGGTCATCATCTCAGCAACCTGTTTTCCATTCCACCACTACTCATAGCAAAAATTGCAAGGCATTAGCACCTGGATGATCCATTTGTGAAAGGAATGAAATTTTTATAGTTTTTGGCCTAAAACAAACCAAATGAATCATCAAATCCTGGAAGCTATTTGTTCTAATCTGTGGGAAAGACCCATAATTGTGCACCTATATAATGTTTTTCCTACCGTGTTTCTCATATAATAAGGCCGGGTCTTATTTTTTTTTGAGTCCCGAAAAAATGGCTAGGCCGTCTTTTCGGGGGTGACTTAATTCCCCCCCCTTGCATCTTCGGGCAGGCGGGCAGCGATGGCTTGGATGTTGACCTCGGCGTTGGTGGGGCACTTTGTATCAGGGTCAATACAGGCAGCACCATATCCGGGTGTGCAACAAAAGTACTTCCTAACAGCAAGTCCCCCCGCCATTTCCCCCACATTTCGCATGTTTTAATATAGGCCTTAATTTGGGGGGAGGGGCTTAATTTCATTTCATGCCTATAAAACATGCTGGGACTTCCTATTGGGGGAGGCCGTATTGTTGGAGAAACAGGGTATCACTTCAAACAAAAGGTTATATATACTTAGATTTGAAGTTCTGTGTGCTACATTTTCTTGAGTGGGAGAACTTTTCCTTCAGCTTTAACTAGTATACAGTGATTAAGAATGATAAGAGTTGCGTGTGTACAATCTTTGGGGGGCTATATTTTCCCCATACTTTTAAAGTGTGATTAGAGCAGGAGAAATTAGATTGAAATCTGTGCTCAATCATGAAGCCTGAATCATTCATTGAATTTTTGCTTAGCCTAACAAAGTTGCTTTAAGCTGTAAATAAGACAGAATCAAGAACCCTATTAAGTTAAAAAGTAACAAACAATATAAAATACAATCACAGAAAAAAGGGTGGCAAAATGAAATTATACCAATATTGCATGGTATGCATATAATTATTTTCTAAAATCATTATGCCTAAAATAGAGTGGCTTAACTAATGCTAAACCATGATTTTTAAATGTCTCATTCACCAAATGCTAAACCAAAATAATATCATCCTATTCCACATATGGCTTAGT